GCCCATCATACATGGCAAAAAATACCTTGTTATATGAAAATGACTTACCAAATGATTTAGGAACTTTCAAGGTAAACTGCTTTGTTAGGTGTCTGGCAACTGAATGCATTTGGACTTGCTTCCTAGCATGAATCTCAACTGTTGAAGAAAGTGTCGTTACAATTGTGGTCCTGGCTTTCTCATTATATTTTTGATAACCCATTTCTTTTGACTGGCACCACCTTCTGGCATCCCTTTATAGGCATCTCGAAATGCACCTGAAGCAAATTTCTCCTGATCGATGAAAACAGTAACCGGTTTTTCAGGTACCCACTCCTTCTGTGCAACATCAAAAGACTCTAAATTCAGCACTGTCTATGTCTTGGGGACTGGCTTGATGAATTTGCCTGCCTTCATAAGTTGATCAATGGAAACAGATGCTGGATAGCTTTGTGTTTCCACTTTTTTGGGTGATGCAATGCATTCTGCACTTTTAGCACGCTTTGACGAGGAAGTTCATCGCTTTTACTACTTGAGAGATTTACTGTTTCATCTTCTTGTTCAAGATCTACCACAAAACAAACAAGGTATACCTAAACAAATTCCATGCTTAATTAAAGTTATAAATTTATATTAACCTGTACAGTGTACCTGTCAGATACCTGGGCAATTAGAACATCGTGTTACCCAAACATTGCTAACATTGCCAGGCCTTACATTTGGGAAAAGGGAAGTAACTGTTGAATGCAACTGTTTTTCAAATTTGAAATTAAAAATGTTATAACTGCAGTTTTAGTTTGTATTGTTGTCTAGCTAGTAAAAACAGCGGGCTCGTATAGTACATATGTTGGTTGGAAATAACCTAAACCCTACTCCCAACTTTAACCTGACCTAACCCCTGATTTAGATCTTATAATTCCACAGGCTGGAAATGTTTATCAGAGCCTTGCTGTACATAACCTAATATCATTTATGGAAACAGAATAAGGGGTCTATTGTATTGAAATTAATTGCATATTGGCAGATTGCATTTATTATCTGCACATGGGGGTTGAGGACACTGGAAAATCCAGGGGAGGGGGGTGTAAAAAAGGCCTTGGAAAATCAAAGGGGAGGGGTGAAAAGACAGCAGAAATCCAGGGGGTGGGGTGATTAGAGACCAAAATCCAGGAGATGGTCTGCAATTAAAGTCATTTTCCAGGTGTATCTGGCAATGAATTCCCAGGAAATTCCAGGGAAGGGGGTATATAAACCGAATTCCAGGGAGTCACAATTTAGCTGGTAAAAAGATGTCCTCAACCCCCCCCCCCTGTGCAATCTGCCATTTGAATATTAAATACAAACATTGATTTTCCTGGCCTTACTTTATCTTTTCGATGAGGTATCTGATTAATATTTTTGCACGAAGGACCCTTGTTCGAGACCAGAATGTCACAGGTCTTTACCGGAAGACCAAAGTGTGTTGCACAAGCTTGCTTCAAATTGTCCAAAGTCAATTCGTCGTATTCAAACTCGACGAACTCACGTGGTTGAACCGGACGGAAAGTTTGTTTGTTGTCAGGTTCGGCGGTTAGTCGTTGAACAATCAGCTCACTGGCCGTTCCTTTTTGGTTTTTATTGCGTCCGCTAGGATTTCTTGTTCTTTTGGCCGTCATTTTGGCATTTAATTCTTTCCAAACCTGGTTCACCTTCGCCATTTTGTCGCAAACGAGCATGTGGAATCTTCGAATGGAAAACAAGTGTTTCCACTATTTACTCGCTGGGGCACCTGTGCCCAGGCGAGTATAGGTTTCGGCATACATTTGTCACGGATCACGGATCATGGATCGTCGATAGCCACAAAATAGAATATTAATGAGCTGCCTAATTTTCCTCCCAATTATCCATAAGGCTCCTGCCAATTTGACCCAAATTATCCATAAATAACCCTGCTTTTTGAGGAAAATTCGGGAAAATTGAACAATTTTACAAGGAATTTCGACATGGAAACAGCAACTTTCGCAAATCGCAAGTTCCGTTTGCTGCACTCAGGGCGCTGGTTTATATTTTGAGAAGAAAGCGATCTTTTCAAGTCTTTCAACGATGTTTACGGTAAGTGAATGTGATTTAATTTCAAATACGCTCACCTCGCATGACTCTGCACCTATTCGTGGTAGACCTACACTAAAAGATGCTGAGCGACTTCGAACCGGGTCGATTATCCACGAATCCACAAATATCAATACCAGAGATTGCCAAAAATGTTATAGAAAAAGTTGCCAAAAATGTGACAAAAGTATTAAAATCAAAAGTACCACTGAAATCAAAAGTACCACTGAAATCAAAAGTACCACTGAAATCAAAAGTACCACTGAAATCAAAAGTACCACTGAAATCAAAAGTACCACTGAAATCAAAAGTACCACTGAAATCAAAAGTACCACTGAAATCAAAAGTACCACTGAAATCAAAAGTACCACTGAAATGACGAATAATACACAGACAAATATACAAAAAACAAACGTAAACTCACAATCAAGTTGCTGCAACTGTATTTCTAAATTGAATAACCAGAATATTGAAATAACAGGTCCGTCAAAACACTACCTAAAGAAACTCCCAGTTCGACCACGGCATGCATTATTTATAATGTCTGCACACAAAAGCATGTTAGTGACTTTACTACCACTGGTTGCCATTTACGTCACCGTGACCGTGAACCCAGTAAAATACAGGTGAAATGGTTAACTAGGAAGTTTGGAAAAAGTCGATTGTTCAGAAAACGTCTCAGACATAAGATCAAAAGGTCTGTACCCATATCCTCTCATCTTCATTATATAGTAGAGAATATTATGCATTGTCAAGGCATTAGGATGAAGTGTATCCCTGATGTTTACTGCCCGAAGAAGGTTGACAAGAAATGCCGGACAAACCGTTCAGCAAAAGATTTAAAATTTTATATTTGTGAAGGAATTCTTGCAAATATATTCTATTTATCAGGTTCAACTCGTGATTTATATGCACAACAGGTATACAAAAATGTCAACCAGTAGTAATATAGGTACCGTTCGACCCGGATTTTTGTGGTGGAGTGTGGTGGAGTGTGGTGGAGGGAGGATGCGTAATGACGTCACTCATTAACATACGTCATAATTATATGCAATGACGTCACGCGGGCGAACTTAAACACGATCGGGCGAAACTTGCTGACTACGCATTTTTTAGCGTCTCCCACGTGTATGATACAATTGAGGGATAATGTTGGCTTACTATGAATTTTTATACAAGCGTCTGCATAAAATCGACAAGCGTCTTGTAACAAGCATCGTCTATATTTGTTCAACATCAGTCATGGCGTGTCTACACGGCAAAACCACATCTTACAATTTATTGGAAGGAATTTTTGCGAATGCAGTCGCACAAGAAGTTGAAAGACTTTGTGTGGAATCCTGTAATGGTTGTCAAGTCGGTCATCCTAGTCAAAGACAACATGACTGCCTCATGATGAACGAAAACGAACGATGGCAAATGTATGGTTTACAAGCGATCGAACGCGTGAATGGTAAGCGTATGGTTTGGAACGAATTCGCTGAGGCAATGAGGGTACTAAAACTGGCGGTTGACAGAGATGTACTCGAACATTTACAGCAACTGGAAAAAGATCCAGATTCTACGTTTGTCGATTCATTGATGGAACTACATCAGAACACTGAGAACCACGAACTACAATGTATACTGAACTATTTGTTTCATTGGAGATTAGAAGACCCACTCGAGTCCGTAGCTGAAGCGTTTTTCTCTTACCCACCGAGTTACATGTATTATGTGAAGGCGACGGGTGAACGATTTAGAAGTTTTGAGACAGATCATAAGAAAGCTTATCAAGAACTCATGGAGAAAAAACTTATAGAACAGTTTAACAAATAGTTTTAGTTGTAATATTTTTGACACTATCGTCTGTTATTTGTATCAATAAGCATGTTTTAAACTTTACAAATGTTGCGTTGTTATGGGTTGCTAGTCATTAGGAGGCGTGTAGGTAATTAAGGGGATTAAGGCAGTACGAATTTACATAACTGAGTGTATCCCAGTGGATAGATAGGGATTATTTATAACGCCGGTGTATGCCTTAAAATCAGGTGCGTGGCTTTGCGGGTGTATGTATATATTAACGTACAAAATAATTGAACACTAATCAGGCTGGCGAGTCACGCGGGAGGGTCGTGCGGGACCAAACACAAACAGCCATTAAGAGTCAATATCACTACGCTCCCGTGTGTTTTTGAAAAGGCTTTTCAAAAGGTATGTTCTCTTGTGAATAGCGACCTCTAACGCTTCCCTGCATGTGGTCGAAGTTATCATCGTTAACAAAGACATCCCCTGGTTTCCATAACCTTTTTGTGTACTGGATCCCTCTTTAGTTGTCTTATCTTGTTATTATTAAATTTATTACAAATGTGTTGAACGGGAAGTAATGGGGATATTAATTTTGTAGCGAGTGGTTCGGTGGTTTTACAGGTGTATTTTCAGAATATATAGTTTCATTGATAGAACCATAAATATTGTGGTGGTAACGTTGTCGGGTAATCCCCACGGGCACAAAGACTGGGATAATAATTAATGTGATACGAATTTACATAAGCGATAGGCTCCTAATGCACATAATAATGAGAGTTATATTCATAGTGATCACCTTAATTAATTTATAAGTGATAATTTTCCGAAGTTACACCGAAGATGATAAAACAACGAGAGGTTTCCGACCTAGCGCCATTTTGTTTCGTGATGAAAATTTATTCCTGTCACAAAGCAAGGCGAGCTATTTTCAGAGTATCATTCTGTTTCAAGATGTCAGAATAGGGAGAGTAGATATAAATGTTAGACGTTCTAAGTGAAATTATGGCTTACTTGACTTTAGTTTTTAAAGTGAGCGGGTTTTGTGACCTGGAAATTGTGCAAGAAGCTATGAGAATCTGTGTATGGGATTTGAAACAAGTGGATATAGCTAGT